AAGACATGGAGCCAGCATTCTGGACAGGCCCTGTCCTCTCGTAGACGGGCCACTTACCCTCCAAATCATCCGGTGCCATGCCACGGCATGCAATGCGATGCTGTGTTGTGCACCGTTGTGCGATGCCATGCTTTGCGTCGCTATGCTTTGTCATGCAATGCTTCACTACGCAATACCACGCCATGCTATGACATGCCATGCTCTGCCGTGCTTTTCTACGGTACGCGCTTCCATCCATCGCGTGCCCTCTTGGGATCATTGCCCTGCTCGGCATCCGCTTGTGCGAATATATAGGACATCTACTCCATGGTAAGGGATGGGAGGGAGGGGTAGGACGTCAGATGTGACGCTAGCGCACCTGGTTTGCATTCCTTCCCCTCCCCTCCCCCGCCCCTGCCCTCCCCCACCTCCCCCCCCCCCCTCCCCCTCCCCTCCCCCTCCCATCTACAACTACTCAATATGAATACTACTCTCCCTCTTCCCCTGATGGCGTGCTGGGAGTGGCCGACCCCCCCCGCGTATTGTTTTTTTACACACAGGATTCCCGGGAGTTGGGTTTTCGCCTGCGCTTTTTTTCAAAATGCTGCTCTCGCTGAGGCGCCGGCCTCATTTCTGCTCCCGAATCGTTCCGAATCGTGCTCCCGCTGCAGCGTGGGCCTCATTTTCGGATCGGTGTTTGGCCTCCGTCGTTCAGGATGGCGTTCTCGCCCCAGCGCGGGCCTCTTTCTCGCGCGCCCATCCGCCCGCCACCACCGCGCCGCACCACCGCCACCACCACCACCACCACCACCACCACCACCACCACCACCCACCACCACCACCACCACAACCAGCACCAGCACCAGCACCAGCAGCACCACCACCACCAGCACCAGCACCAGCACCAGCACCAGCACCATCACCACCACCCACCACCACCACCACCACCACCCACAACCACGCACACACGCACGCACGCACGCACGCGCACCACCACCCACTACGCACGCGCGCGCGGAGCCACAGGTCCGCTACGACACGCGTCCGCGGATAGAGAAAATCAGCGCCATGGTAAGGGATGGGAGGGAGGGGTAGGACGTCAGATATGACGCGAGCGCACCTGGCTTGCCTCTCCCCCCTCCCCTCTCGCCTCCCCGCCCCTCCCCCCCCCCCTTCCCCCTCCTCCCCTCCCCTCATCTCCTCTTCTCTCTGCCCCCCCCCCTCTCGCCTGCTGGCCCCTCCTTCCCTCTTCCCTGGGGGGGGGGGGGGGGGCCGGGGAGGCACGGGAGAGGCCACGGGCAGGCCGGGCAAGGGCGGCGCACTCCCCGCCTCGCGCTCCGCGTGCCGCTTCTGGCGCTCCTGCGGGGGGGGTAGAGCGGGGGGGAGGGGGGCAGCGGGAGGCCAGCATCGAATCGCGAAGCCGGATCGCAATCGAGATCAAGCCGGGTGCGCAGAAGTCGGCGCCCAAGTCGGAAGACACACGTCGGCTTGGAAATCGGAAACCAGCGATCGAATCGCAATCGGATCGGAAAATGTTGTCGGAGTCGGATCGACGTCGAATCGGTTGGGAACCGCGTCGAAACGGATCGGGTTGGAACCCCTCGAGCCCCCTCGGACGCATGGCGCTGATGAACCAAATCCTCCTCCCGCTGTCCCCCAGCAGCGGGCAGCGGGAGGAGGGTTTGTTTTTGTTTCACGACTTGTCCTTACCCAGTGCAGCAAGGCCAAGGTCGCGACGCGCTACTCACGCACGCGGTGCGCTAAAATGTCACCAATTGGAAGGATGAGGAGAGGAAGGAGGAAAATCAGCCCTTCTTCGCGGTCTGCTGCTGGAGGCGCGCCTTCCCGTCCGACCAGCCAGTGATTCCGCCGCACCGGACGACCTCGCGCATCTCGCCGATCGCCCTGTGCAGGTCCCCGCACTGCTCGTCGAGGATCCTCTAGTCCTTGTGGACGTCCTGCAGCAAGGCGCCGAAGTAATTCTGGGCTGCCGCGTTCTCCTGGTCGAGCTCGAGGGCCTTGCGGTACGCGCGCTCCGCGCTGTCGTAGTCCTTGCGGACGTGCTGCAGCAAGACGCCGAGGTCGATGTGGGCTGCTGCGTCAGTCGGGTCGAGCTAGAGGGTTTTGCGGTACGCGCGCTCCGCGCTGTCGTAGTCCTTGCGGGCGTGCTGCAGCAAGTCGCCGAGGTCGATGTGGGCTGCTGCGTCCGTCGGGTCGAGCTCGAGGGTCTTGCGGTACGCGCCCTCCGCGCTGTCGTAGTCCTTGCGGGCGTGCTGCAGCAAGTAGCCGAGGTGGCTGTGGGCCTTCGCGTCCTTCGGGTCGAGCTCGATGGCCTTGCGGCACGCGCCCTCCGCGCTGTCGTAGTCCTCGTGGACGACCCGCAGCAAATTGCCGAGGTTGTTGTGGGCTGCCGCGTCCATCGGGTCGAGCTCGATGGCCTTGCGGTACGCGCCCTCCGCGCTGTCGTAGTCCTTGCGGACGTCGTTCAGCAAGTAACCAAGGCGGTTGTGGGCCATCGCGTACTTCGGGTCGAGCTCGAAGGCCTTGCGGAACGCGCGCTCCGCGCTGTCGTAGTCCTTGCGGACGTGCTGCAGCAAGTCGCCGAGGTGGTTGCGGGCCATCGCGTACTTCGGGTCAAGCTCGAGGGCCTTGCGGAACGCGCGCTCCGCGCTGTCGTAGTCCTTGCGGACAGTGTTCAGAAAGATGCCGAGGTTGTTGTGGGCTGCCGCGTCCTTCGGGTCGAGCTCGAGGGCCTTGCGATACGTGCCCTCCGCGCTGTCGTAGTCCTTGCGGACGACCTGCAGCAAGTAGCCGAGGTGGTTGTGGGCCTTCGCGTCCTTCGGGTCGAGCTCGATGGCCTTGCGGTACGCGCGCTCCGCGCTGTCGTAATCCTTGAGCAAAGAAGAAGAAGAAGGAGAAGTGTACTGTGCGAGAACCACACGCTCACCATTGCGGGGCCCGCCTCGGCCGCCGCACGAAACGCGACGACGGCCTCGTCGTACGTGCCCTGGCCCCGAAGCGTCACGCCCTTGGCGATGAGCCCCCAGGGCGACGCGCGCACGTCCGCGGGCTTGGCGGCGAGCGCAGCAGGGGCACCCTCGCCGTCGCCGCCCACGGCGAGCTTGACAACGTCGGCCATCGTCGGTTGCTTCTAAAGGGTGCCGACGAGCGCGTTCAGCGACACCTTCTCGTCGGCGGGCGCTCGCCATTATCAGCTCGATCTTCTCGTCCACGGCGTCCACCTTCTCTCGTCGACAGTGTGCACCGTGACGTACGTGTCGATCGTGAGCGCGACACCGAACGCAGCCATGGCCTCCGTGACCGCGGCCTGCGCGCCGGCGACATCCTCGTTGAACAGCGCGCTGCGGACGAACGCCGCTGCCTTGCTGCCTTTGGTGATCTGACCCGCGACGGAGATGCGCGTGCCGAGTGCCTTCGCTGCGCTGTCGACGAGCACTCGTGCCTCCTCGTCGAGCGCGGTGCCGGCGCCCCGCTCGGCGAGACGGGCCCGGAGAGGCACCGGCAAGCGCCCGCCCTGGCCAGCCCGCACCGCGACCGCCTCCGCCTCCTCCGCCTGCTGGGCGAGCTCCGAGAACGTCTCTGTGACCTGGGCCGCTGGCAACTGTTCCCCCGCCGACCACCGGCAACTGTTCCCCCGCCGTGAGCACCGCGTCGGCCGCCTTGCCGACCGCGAGCTCGGCGTCGCGCTTCGTCACCGTGTTGCCGCCGAGCTCGCCAGGTGTTCCGCATCCCATGGCGGCCGCGAGACACTTCGGGAGAGCAGGGCGAGGTCCTGGCTCTGCAGTGTATCAAAGATTTCGTGCATCGAGAAACCTGCAGGACAGATTGACCCTAGCCAAGATGACTACGGACACACAGCGGGAGGAGGAGGGGGAGGAGGAGGAGGAGGAAGAAGAGCAGGAGGAGGAGGAGGAGGAGAAAAACGTTTCAGGCATCGGCCCTAAATCCGCGCAGCGTCAAAAGGAGGAGGATGAGGAGGAGGAGGACCAGTGTAAACCCAAGAGTCATCACCGACGTTGGAACAAACCCTCCCTCCAAGCTCCCTGTTCAGAGGCCCCTACAACTTCATTTCCACTGAGGGAACTGCCTCGTTGGAAGTCACTCGTTTGAAGACCCTGAAACATACCAAAACATTGTTCTCGGGATTCCGACGCCACGGATCAACCTGACTGTTGCGTCTTGACGATCCTGAATCGGCCAAAACGCCCTTCCTGGGACTTCAACACCTGCTCGAGAGCATCCCGCGGCGAGAAGACCTCCCCTGGGGAAACCAAAAGGCACCGTGCACTGCTCGACTCCGTGCGTTCATTTTTCCGCCGGATGGTCCTGGATGCTCCTCGATGGTCCTCGCTGAAAACAAAGGCACACGTCCGAGCGATGCCGAGCCCATCTAAGAGACCCCCTCTTGGGCAACCCAAGCGGTGCCAATACCGCGACTCCCCGGACCTCTCCCGGAGTGCGTTCTGACCAGGGTTCCGAGGCGAATCCAGCGGCGGCGACGAGGGCCTCGCAGAGGGGGCCCAACAAACGGGGAAAACGAGGGGAAGGGCAGCGGCGGCATGGGTACCATTTCCTTCTCGGATCCCCTTGGACGACGCCAGCCGTGCACCAGACCAGCCGCGATGCGCGCCGCCGGGCGCACGCGCGGAGGCATGCAGCAACACTGGCCCGAGGCACGGCCTGCCGGGGCGCTGCTCTCGCCGGGCGGAGGGCCAGCGGGGAACTCCTGGCGGCCCGCCCGCCCGGCCCAAAAGTCAGCGCAAAGGCGGCCCTCGGAAAATCGAGGCGGACCCAGCCTCCTTCTCCTCCTCCTCCTCCTCCTCCTCCTCCTCGTCCTCCTCCTCCTCCTCATTTACTCCTCCTCCTCCTCCTCCTCCTCCTCCTCCTCCTCCTCCCAGCCGTGGTGAGGACGAGCCCTCCCAGAGACACGCTCGGGCCCTGGGGTCCAGCGAGGCCTCCCGGGGGGGGGGCAACGAAAGGCGAAAAAAAGTCCCGGAAGCGGCGAGCACTTCGCAGGCCCCCGGGCGTCCTGCTGCTCGTAGGTCCTGTGGAAGTCCATCAGCTCGGACCTCAGGAGCACCCCCCCCCTTCAGAGGAGCAGCGAGGGGGAGGAGAAAAAGGAGGAGGAGGAGGTGGAGGAAGAGGGGGAATAATAAGAAGACGAGGGGGACGACGAGGAAAAAGATTGTGGGGATGCCTCGAACGAGGCGCATGTTCTGGCACCTCCGACTCCTACGGCGCATGGGCGATAAGCGCGAGGGCCAGGAAGTCCCCTCTTCGTTCAGAGCACCATGATTTCCGCGATGCATCGGGCATAGCATTTGGGTACCCCTTCTCGCACAGAAAAGAAATGATTGCAGGGAGCTGTGAAGAGGGAACTTTGAGGGAGGGTTATTTGCCACATCGTTGATGCGCCTTGGGTTTACTCTGGTCCTCCTCCTCCTCGCTCATTTCTTCTCCTTATAAATAGCTTCTCCTCGTCGCACCCCGAAGAGTGTCGGTAGGGCGGGCCGGTCGTTTCGCCTGAGACTTCCTCACAATCCCACCAGCCCTCTGGGCGTAGGTGTATTTCCCCTCTACATATATGTATACATACATATATAGAGAGAGTGCAGCGGCAAAGGCCTCCGGAAATCCATCCGACCGATAAACCGATAAACCGATCAACCGACAACCTTCATCTGCGAACATAGAGACGATGGCCGGCGCGCTCTCTTTCTCTTCGTCGGTTTATCGGTTTATCGGCTCATCGGGTGACTGGCTGGTCTGAAACCGCTGGGGGCAACCCTGAGGAGTCGATCCTTGCGCCGCATATCGATCGGTTTATCGGCCGGTCGTCAGGCTCCCGCCGCGACGACGACGGCGACGGCTCTGGGGCGGCTCTCCCTGATCAGCGTGAGTTTTGTGATTGGCTCTAGCGCGGACGGAGTTCCGCAGGGGTCCCAGCTTCTCCCGTTGCATACGATGATCTGCGTGGTAATTAGTGTAGGCCCTGCGAGGGTCTCAGGCGACAGTGGCCGAACCAACTTGGGGCAGGGCATATCCGAGGTCAGATATCTGAGGATGTTGAAGGCAAAAGTGGCCCGAGCATTCAGCTCAGGGCATCTCAGAACCGAGGGTTAAGAGGATGTCTCATGCGAAAGAACAGGTCAGCTTTAGGCGTCTCGGATTCCACTGTTGCGAGAATGTCGCAAGCGAAAGTGGCGGGACCGCCATGGGGTAGGGCATCGTCGAAGCTAGAGGTGCGAGGGCGCATCAGGCGAAAGTGGCCTGAACACCATACCTCGTGGCAGATCCGGGATCAGACTACCTCAAGGCAGGGCGCATCCCAGGTCAACGCTGCGAGTTTGTCTAGGCGGAACTGGCCAGCACAATTTGGGGCAGGGAGTATCTGAGGTTAGCGTTGCGAGGGTGACTGAAGCGAAAGTGGCGCGACTATCTTTGCTCTGGGCATCCCAGAACCCACAGCTGCGAGGATGCAGCAGGCGAAAGTGGCCTGATCACCATGGGGCTGGGGGCAGGGCAACTCCGCGGTCAGACATGCGAGGATGTCTGACGCGAAAGTGGCCTGAACACCTCAACCCTGGGCGTCTCGGCAGCCACAGTCGCGGGGATGTTACAAGCGAGAGTGGCCAAACCACCATGGGGCAGGGCACCTCCGAGGTCAGATTTGCGAGGAAATCTTAAGCAAAAGTGGTATGTCCACCTCAGCCGAAGGCGTTTCGGAATCTAGAATTACGAGGATGTCTCTGGCGAAAGCGGCTGGACTACGATGGGGCAGGGCATCTTGGAATCCAGAAGTGCGAGGATGGCTCAGGCGATGGTGGCCAAATCACCTCGCTTCGAAACATACGCCGAGGATGTTTCAAGCGGAATGCGCCAGAGTTGTGAAGATGCCAATGGCGAGTTCCTTTAGAAAATCACATGTCGTGGCGCGTTGGAACCCAGACTTCCGAAGATGTCTCGCGCGAAACGGGCCTCCTCCTCCTCTTTTTCCTCCGCCTCCTCCTCCTCTTCCTTCTCCTCCTCCTCCTCCTCCTCCTCCTCCTCCTCCTCGTCCTCCTCGTCCTCCTCGTCCTCCTCATCCTACTCCTACTCTTCTCCGCACGCTCCTCATCCTCCTCCTGCTCCTCCTCACCATCCTCCCAGCCACGCGCGGGCGCGGGCGCGCGCGCGGGCGCACCGACAGCGACGGCAGCGGCGGCGGCGGCGGCAGCGAGACGCACGGACATCTTCGCGCCCTCGCGGGGCCATCGCGAGGCCACCTTGGAGGACGCCAGCTCTCTAGCCTAGGCCGCGACGCGCGAAGCAAGATTACCTTCGCGCCCCTTGGGTGACCGAGTCTCAGACAGCCGCCGAAGGCCTCCTCCTCCTCCCGTTCTTCGTTGTCCTTTTCCCTCCTCCTCCTGCTCCTCCTTCTCCTCTTCCTTATCCCCCCCCTTCCTCTTCCCTCCACCTCCCCCTCTCCCCTTGCTCGTCTTCCTCCTCCCCTCCTCCTCCCCTTCAGCATCATTTTCATCATCACTTGAATCATCATTTTCATCACCATGTTCATCATCATCATCATCATCATCATCATCATCATCATCATCATCATCATCATCAGCATCATCAGCAGCAGCAGCAGCGTCAGTATCACCATCAGCATCCGCATGCTCGTTGTAGCTTTACAAGTATCCCTAATAGCAGGGAGTGATACTAATATTTGTGGTAGTAATATCATCGACAGTAGCGCCGCAGTAGTCGTCGTCGTAGTGGTAGTAGTAGCAGCAGCACTAGTAGTAGCAGTAGAAGTAGGAGCAGTAGTAGTTCTAATAGTTGTGCTCGTACCAACAACAGTAGCAACCACGAGAATAACAAATGTGCATCGCAGCGGTAGCCACAATAATGTGTGCTGGTTCTGCAGTCGTAGGTTTAGCATTTGTACTATGAGAAATACCCGTAGCCGCAACGATACTTGAAACCATGCGCATAGTTGCGATAGCCTCGATAATAAGTGTTGTTGAAATTGTGATCGCAATAGTAGTTGTAGCTGCATTAGTACCAGTAGCATTAGTGGTAACGATAATAATCCATGGGAGTAGAGATAATAGGATCAACGTAAGAATTGTGGATGTAAAAATAATGGTAATAACAGTTGTTGTATCAGCACCCGTAACAACAGCAGTAACGATAGTAACACATGGGAATCGTATGAATAGAATTGTTATTAATTGCACTTGTAGTAGCACCGGTGACAGCAGCGGAAACTTCAATAACAAGTAGGAGTAGTAGTAGAAGGTGTTATGGTTGTGTATGTTCTTCGCGCCCTCGCGAGGCCATCGCGAGGCCACCTTGGAGGACGCCAGCTCTGTAGCCTAGGCCGCGACGCGCGAAGCAAGAGTATCTTCGCATCCCTGGGGTGACCGAGTCACGGACAACCGCCGAAGGCCTGCTCCTCCCGATCCTCGTTGTCCTCTTCCCTCCTCCTCTTCCTTCTCCTCCCCCTCTTCCTCTTCCCTCCGTCTCCTCCCCCTCCTCGTGCTCGTCTTCCTCCCCCCCTCCTCCTCCTCCTCCTCCTCCTCCTCCTCAGCATCATTGTTTCGTCATCATGTTCATCATCATCATCATCATCATCATCATCATCATCATCATCATCATCATCATCATCATCATCATCATCATCATCATCATCATCATCATCATCATCATCATCATCATCATCATTCATCATCATCAGCAGCAGCATCATTATCATCATCAACATCCGCATGCTGGCTGTAGCTTTACCAATATCCATAGCAGCAGGGAGTGATAGTATCAGTTGTGGTAGTAATATCAACGACAGTAGCGCCGCAGTAGTCGTCGTAGTAGTAGTAGTAGTAGCAGCAGTTAGCAACCACGAGAATAACACATTTGCATCGCAGCGGTCGCCACAATGATATGTGCTGGTGCCGTAATAGTAGTAGTAGTAGTAGTAGTAGTAGTAGTAGTAGTAGTAGTAGTAGTAGTAGTAGTAGTAGTAGTAGTAGTAGTAGTAGTACTCATGGCTTTAGCATTTGTACCATTAGAAATCGCCATCGCCGCAACGACCATTAAAACATGCGCATAGTTGCGGTAGCCTCAATAATAAGTCTCGTTGGAGTTGTGATCGCACTAGTAGTTGTAGTTGAATTGGTACCAGTAGCAGTAGTGGTAACGATAGTAACCCATGGGAGTAAAAGTAGTAGCATCAACAATAATAGTTGTGGATGTACTAATAATAAAAGTAACAAGTCTTGTTGTATCAGCACCCGTAACAACAGGAATAACGATTGTAACACATGGGAGTAATCATTTGTTGTAGCACCGGTGACAGCAGCAGAAACGGTAGTAACAAATAGGAGTAGTAATACTTACTAGCTGTTGTGGTTGTGGATGTTGTAGTAGGAGTTATTGCAAGGATTTCTTGGGATCCCCGAGAGTTCTTCAGGACAAAGGAGTCATCAGAAATACTCAGAAGATTACCACTTGGAGCGGTCCAAAGGACTCCTCAGAAGGATTTCTACGGGTTACCACTCGGACAACTACCACAACTCCAAGCCGATAAAGCGATAAACCGATCAACCGATCAACTGGTAAACAGACAGGTCGATACATTGGTAAACGGAGAAAGATGCGGATAAACCGATAAACCGATAAACCGATAAAGCCATACTACCCCGAGATTTGGACACGCTTGCGATGAGTCGGATTATCGGTTGATCGGTCTATCGGTTTATCGGTTTTATTTTCAGGTTCTGCGGCTGCAGTCTCTCTCTCTCTATACATATATGTATGTATGTATGTATGTATGTATGTATGTATGTATGCATGCATATCTACATGTATACATACATACATATATAATATATATTATATATATATATATATATATATATATATATATATATATATATATTATACTTTTTCCTCTCAAGCCCGCACTCCTCGCGTCCAAGCGTAGTTGGTATTTGCTCTGGTGTGTTGTCGTAGGTGGCCAATGGGGGCTTCCTCTTCCAGCCCCCTTCTTCCCCTTCGGGGAGGGGTTTACCCCTCCCTCTACCCTCCC